CCCTGAGCCTAGGAGGTAGAAGCTGATTAACAGATGGGTCACTGGAATTGGGAACTCCATAGCCAATTCTCAAATGTTGGCTATTTGTAGATTTCTGTGATCTTCATCGACTGCAAAGGGAAGCTTTGTTGGTGAGAGACATACTTCACTGTGGTTGTAAGGATAAATGTTTAGAGTGCAGTAGAAATCATCCTGGTTTAGGAAAGTGGCAGAAGTAGGCTCTCCTCTAGGGTCCATGCCCTCACCAGCCATGGGCAGTTGACTGGGTTCATTTCTTTCCTGTTTAGCTGGCATTAACTCCAATTAGATAGCTATTGATGACTCACCAGATATACACGCACCCATGGACATACTGACCACGATGATCAGATTTTAAGTGTACAACTCAGTAATGTTTACTATAGTCACAGCATTCTGCAAACCATCACCATTATTTATTCCCAGAATTCTTTCAATTATCCAAGTAGAAACTGTGTACTCATCAAAAAATATAGTTCCCAATTTCCTCTTTGCCCCTGGCCCTGGTAACTACTACCCTGCCATCTGCCTCTATGAATTTACTTTCTGCACATTAGCAGAATTATCTGTCCTTTAGCCCTGGCTTACTTGTCCTTCTGTGTCTGTAGAAGTGGAATAAGTGAGCTTTGCTTGACATAGTATTTCAAGGACCATTCCTTTTTATTGCTGAAGAAAATTCCATATAGTGCATACACACACACACACACACACACACATTCTCATTTTGTTTATCCATTTACCTACCAATGGTTTCCCCTCAGTTTGACCATTATGAAAAATGCTACAGTAAAAAAAAAATCTCTTTATCTATATAGATTTGTATAGGCAAATGCTATCAGTTCTGTTGGGCATATGACTTAGATCTGGGGGACTGTCAGTCTGTCTCCAGAGCAACTGCATCATTTTACATTTCCATCAAGGTGTATGAGCATTCTCATTTCCTAACATCCCAACTACCATTTGTTTTCATTTCTCTTCTTTTTCTGAATAATCATCCTGGAATTTCATGTGGTTTTAATTTCCCATGCCAGAGAGAGATTGGAGCTGGAAGAGAATATCTAATGCATTGGAGTTTCCTAATTCTGAATCACTCTTTAAGATCTTGGTTTGCAGCCCAGTGGTGGTGGCACACACCTTTAATCCCAGCACTTGAGAAACAGAAACAGGTGGATCTCTGTGAGTTCCAGGCCAGCCTGCTCTACAGAGCAAGTTCCAGGACATGCTCCAAAGCTACAGACAAACCCTGTCTTGAAAAAACACAAAAACAAAAAAACAAAACAAAAAAAAAACAAGAAACAAAACAAAAACCAAAAAAAAAAATCTAGGTTTGCTCAGGTTTGATTTTTTTTTTCCCCCCTACAACCAAAGAAATCCCAACTAATTGTTTTAGCTTTGTTTGTTTGTTTTTCTAGATAGGGTTTCCCTGGGTATCCCTTGCTATCTTGGAACTCACTCTGTAGACCAGGCTGGTCTTGAACTCAGAGATCCCCCTGCCTCTACCTCCGGAGTGCTGGGAATACCGCCCAGCTTTTTTTAACATTTTGGTTGATAAATAAGGAAGCTAGTCTTATGTTTTATACATAACTACCCTAATCTTTTGCAGTAACAGATTATCAAAAAATGATATTTTGTCCTTTTTATTTTAAAAAATTCTTTTTTATTTTACATACCAAACCCGTCCCTCCCCTTCCCTTGTTTCTACCACCTCCCCCTTCACACACCCCTATCCACTCCTCAGAGTGGGTAAGGCATTCCTTGGGGGAGTCAACAAAGTATGGCATACAAAGTTGAGGCAGGAGCAAGCCCCTCCTGCTGGATCGCAGCTGAGCAAGGTATTCCACCATAGGGAATGTGCTCCAGAAAGCCAGTTCGTGCACCTGGCATAGGTCCTGGTCCCACTGCCAGCCACCCCCCCCCCCCAACAGATCAGACCACACTGTCACCCACATTAGGGGACCTAGTTCTGTCCCATACAGGTTCCCCGGCTCTCAGTCTAGAGTCTGTATGCAGATATTTTGTACTTTTATGTTCCTTCCTTTCTTCCTTTTTTATTTTTTAATTCAGTATGCTATTCTCCTCCTCACTTTCTAGGGAAGAACCTAGTTTTCATTGTAGGTATATTTTTACAGTTCTTGCCTGTACAATACTTTTATTTTTATTAAGTGGACTTATTTTTTGCAATATCAGTTTCAATTCAGTTCTGAAAATTTTAAAGTAGATGCCACATCTTTAAAATAATTTTCCGATATTTGTCAGACTTGTGTTTTTGCCCCTGCTCTGCCAATGACCATGCATACAATACTTCCTGATATTGGATCACCCTGCACTGTAGTGATCCCACCTGTGATGCATGATCTCAGAAGCTGGCAGCATGTTACCTGGAACTTGTGCACATCAGAACCATTGTGCTTGACTACATTGTCTCTTTAGTATTTGTTTACTGTGATTGTCTGTGTGTGTGAGCACAGGCATGTGCCATGATGTACCTGTGATGGTCAATGAGCAACTGTGAAGGTCAGGTTTTGACTTCTGCCTTTTTTTTTCTTTTTTTTTTCTTTTTTTTTTTTTTTTTTTTTTTTTTTTTGAGGCAGGGTCTCTTTGTTGCGCTGTTGGCTAAGTACCCCAGGCTGGGTGGCCTGGGTACTTGCCGTCAGTCCTTCTGCCTGTGCCTGCATCTTGCTCTGAAGGTGCTAGCTTTATAGACCCATGCTGCCACATACGTGAGTTCTGACTTGAACCAGGCCGTCGGGCTCATGTGATGAGCCATCTCCCCAGCCCAGCCATTGCTTTCTTGACATCTTACTAATCTGAATACATCTTATGCAACATGGTTACATGCAGCATGAAAGTTGCCTTGTTTGGGGTGACTTTATATGTCTTGTTTTTGTTATCCTATATAGATGTGAGTCAGATAAGAATGAAGAGCCTTTATGGCTTTCTTCCGTATTGTTAAACTGTTTAAATCCAAACAAATTGGTAAGTCACCGGTCAAACACTGCCCAGCATGAAGGAGGCGTTAGATTTTATTCACAGCACTACAGTAGAAAAATCACACACCTGTAGTGGCTTCCATGCCCACACACGTGCACACACATGCATGCACACTAAACAAAAACTTCAAAATAAAATCCATATTATATAGATTTCCATATTAATGTACATAAAGCATGCAGTATTCTTCCATGTTCTTCACTCTCGTTTTCTGTTGCCTTCTTAGTCTTAGTTTGCCTAAGTCCACTTCTCTGCCTTTTCCTTCCTCTCAGACCTGATTGGACTTTATCATCGTGATAGGTTTTCTCAGAGGTGATGTTTACTTTACTTACTCCAGTTTTCCCCTTCTTCCTTCATTCATTTTCCTTTTTGTTTGTATTGGCTCATTTTACTATTTATGAATTACTTTTCTAGCTTTTGGGGTATTTGCTTACTAAGAATAAAATTTTCTTAGTAGCATTTGCTTACTAAGAATAAAATTTTCTAACAAATCATTCTAGTTTATGTTATTAGTGTATATTTAATTAGATATAGTTTTATAAATCATAATTTAGTCAATTTTTGTTTTTAAATCATATTCTTCATGGATATAATTTTTAAAATTTTTTTCATTTATGTGTATGTGTGGACATGTGAGTAACCAGGAAGACCAGCAGACAGCATTCCGTGCCCTGGAGCTAAAGTTACAGATGTGAGTCCCTGACTGACATCTGTGCCAGGAACTGAACTCTTCTCTGCAAGAGCAGCAAGGACTCTTAACCTATTGACATTATCTCCCCAGTCCTTAGTTTGGCTCATTTTTAATATATGGCTCATATTTTATTTTCTCTTTAACTCCTGGCTATTAGCAAAATGAGTGTTAACTGCATGGTTTCCACTCAAGCATTTTTATTGGAATTTCTATTTTGTCCAAATCATGTGTATTGTAGCCTGACTCAAGACTTCTTGCTCTTTACATCTTCATCTTGACCACAAAGATTTCTTTGGGATTTTTTTTATTTATTTTATTGAGCTATTCTTTTTTCTCTGCTCCCCTTTCTGCTTCTCCCCTCCCCTTCAATCTTCTCCATGCTCCCAATTTACTCAGGAGATTTTGTCTTTTTTACTTCCCGTGTAGATTGATCCATGTGTGTTTCTCTTAGGGTCCTCATTGTTGTCTAGGTTCTCTGGGATTGTGATTTATAGGCTGGTTTTCTTTGCTTTATGTCTAAAAACCACTTATGAGTGGGTACATATAATTGTCTTTTTGGATCTGGGTTACCTCACTCAATATGATGTTTTCTAGCGCCATCCATTTGCCTGCAAAGATTTCTTATAAGCCAAACTCATAAGACTGATATTAAAAACCTAGTGTTTATTAAGTGAAAAATCACAAACTATTAACTTTTTACATAGTTGGATGCGTTGGCTCTCCTCCTCAGAAGTCCCTGCTCAGGAATAGGTACCAAACAGTATAGACAGGTATTGAGGACATTAATGCTGGACTAATTCATGGTTAAGCTATAGAGTCCCTTAGAAAGGGTGACTGAACTTCATTAAAGGAGAAGTGGTTTGCAAGCAAAAAGAAGAAAGGACCATCCAGAAAGGACTAGCCAACATTACGAAGGCCAGTCATAGTAGCAATCTGTAGGCATTTGTAGACACATCTTTAAGGGGCTGTGTGCTCACTGCTGCTTACATACTCCTGGGAACTCCCGGTCCATATCTCCTGTAAGCATTACTTATGGGCTATGAGAAGGTGGCTACCAGTGTGCCCTGTTTTGCAGATCATGAAATGATGAGTTTTAAAGAAATTAGAGGAAACCAACTATGAAACCTAGATCATCCAGTTTGAAACTCACTGCTTTTCTCCTACATCGTGTGAAAGGTTCAGTCCTCTAGAGGTCAGGAAACTGTTCTCTCTAGCACAGCCCCTAGTGAGGACTGGGGAAAATGGGGTTAGCTGTCTGAGTGTCCTCAAATGTGTAACCTCAGTGTTTGTCTCATTTGAGATCCCTGCAGTGAAGTTGAATGAGCTGCTTGAAAACTTTTATGTCACTGTCAAGAAGAGTGACGGCTCAGACTTCCTGGCGACCTCACTTCATGCCATCCGCCGTGGCCTGGACCGCATCCTGAAGAATGCAGGTGTGGGCTTTTCCATCACCAGCAGCACCTTCAGTTCTTCCACCAAGAAACTCAAGGAGAAGCTGTGGGTTCTGAGTAAGGCAGGGATGTCGGGTGCCCGTTCTCGCAATATCGTCTACTTCTCCCTTTCTGATGAGGAGGAGATGTGGCAGGCAGGGTGTCTCGGGGACGACAGCCCCATTACTCTCCTGTCCACAGTGGTCAAGTACAACAGCCAGTATCTGAATATGCGGACACTGCAGGAGCACGCAGACCTGATGTATGGTGACATCGAGTTGCTCAAAGACCCACAAAACCAGCCCTACTTTGCCCGGACAGACAGTGTTAAGCGAGAGAGCCGGAGTGCTTCTACCAGAGTATGTCACGGGAAAATCTACCATGAGCATTCTAGGGGACACAAACAGTGCCCTTACTGCCTCCTCTACAAGTACATGTACATCCACCGGCCACCTACCCAAATGGAGGCCAAGTCTCCCTTCTATCTGACAGCCAGGAAGGAGGCCACAGACATGGGCAGTGTATGGTATGAGGAGCAGAGGATGGGATTGCGGTCCCTCCGGGGAATTGTCCCAAATTTAGCCAGAAAGGTCAAGCTGGACAACTGTGAGAACTTCACCTTCGTCTCATTCACTCAGGTCTCCAGGAGACTTAGCTCCCACAGCTGCTGCCAGTGAGCCCTCCAAGGCCAGGACTTCCCTCAGGTGGTCATGGCGAGAGTCATCAGCAAGCAGGTCCTGAGGAGACAGAAGCTGTCTTCACTCCATGATACAGCTGGCCTCCATTACTGCAGCAGGCCATTGCTCAGTCTTGAAATTCACTTTTACATAAAAGTAGATGACTGAATAATGTTTTATCTAAATGTGTGACACCTTGTTAAATCTTGGAATCTAACACAATGTATAATTATTATATACAAGAGTGAAGAAATTCATTTTATCTAGTGCCTTTTTAGCACGGGTTTTCTTGGAAAAAATGTTTTAAGTACTTACTGTTAAAAAAAATCCCAGTAGCCTGGCAGCTTTAGAATGGTATAGAATTATGTACACTTTGTTGAGTTTCCTTCACATAAGGACCTAGAGCGAGAGAGACAGAATTATGTTTTCTCAGTGGATGCTCTGCCAGGGAGGCAGACTTACTCACTGAGGTAAAAGAAACACTTCCACTGTGCTGTTGATAAAGACAATTTGATAAAACGAAGATCAGTACTCTGAAAGGCTGGTTCTGAGACACCACGTGCAGTGGACTCTGCAACCAGGAGGGTTTCTAGAAAGCCACTTGTGACCCAAATAGGAAAACCTGAAGCAGAAGTGCCTGCATCTGAGTTCTCCACACCGTGAGAGCATCTGCTGTTTGAACTTTGTTTTGTGTTAATCTGTTTTTCACATCATGCCGTTGTTCTGTTGGCCAGAGTCCCTGGACATGTAAGGCTAGCTCATGCTTTCCTAAGAAAATCAACAAAGTAAGCCACAAAGAAAACAGATTCCCCACTGCATTTACTAAAGATTCTGGAGATCTGTGGGTTGGCACAAGTGCTTTGGACACAGATTTAGGCAGCTTACCAGGTAAGCAAGCCAGCACTAAGGACATGGTGAGTCAGAGCATGCGTACATTGTCAAATCATTTCACATTAATAAAACTCAACCTGACCATGTGCTGTTTAAACAGCAGAATTTTCTGTTAGCTACTCTGAATACAAGTTTTTAAAAAGGAACCCAAAGAGTACTAATTAACAGGAGTAGCTGCTACTCTGCTTTCCATTCAAGGGAAGACTGCTATAACTTGTACCATTGTGTTCTTATGTATGCTTTTGGATCCCAAATTAAAATCCCAGTGCAAATTCATACTGCACAAGTCCTTAAATTAGTCATTTCTTTTTCAAAGTACTGTTTTAATATTTATTTAAAGTAGTTCTTTTAAAATCACTCATTAGTTATTGAAATATGTGACACTTTACCAGAGAAGACTCAACCAATGCTGCCTTAAGGACTCATGTTGTTCTCTTTCTAGTGAGTATATGCTTATAGTTCTGTTCACTAGGTTACCTCCCTGGGTAGTGATGAATTTTAGTAGCCCCTTCTTTGTGTAAATAACACGCAATTAATATTCGGTGTTTGACTTGACCCTGTGTATTAGTCTGTAGTGACTTCCAATCGTGATTTTAGGGTTTTGAAAAGATAGACAAACCAGGTGTGGTAGCCACGCCTTTAATCCCAGCACTTGGAAGGCAGAGGGAGGCAGATCTCTGTAAAGCCAGCCTGGTCTACAAAGCGAGTTCCGAGACAGCCAGGGCTACGCAGAGAAACCCTGTCTCAGGAAAAAAGCAGAGATGGTCACAAAATGTTAGGTCAGTCTTCTTTAGTTTGCTAAACACCCAAAGGTTATTTTGTTTGTGGGAAGCAAACAGTTATCTTTTCGGTTCTGCATGTAAGATGAAGACATGACTTGTATGGCCAAGTTGCAGAGTCTGCATCTTAATTACTAACACCTTCATTTTTATTTTAGATAGATTCAAAATGTTGTTGTTAGGTGTGCTGGGATCTTTCCAAGTTTAACATTCCCAAGAATAGCAATAACTGACCATATGTCGTCAATATTCCTGTTAACTGAGACTGTTGAGCATTTGAATAAGCATTTCTGCTTCAACTTCCTGCCTTGCACCTATTTGATGAATTGTAAGCTCTCCAAATTCTCAGGGGTCAGATCTTCAGTTACACTTGACAGCATGGGAATCCTTGAGTCGTGGGAGTGAGGAAGAGCACACTTGCATCAAGGGCTCCCACCTGCCATGTACAACTTTATTGTCTATTTGTGCAGATATGGCTGTGTGAGACACACTTTACATCAGTGAGTGGTAAGCTGGGGTGAGCCTACCAACCTGAAAAAATAGCTGTCTTCCCAGATGGCCATGCTCTGAAGGAGGGCCAAGAGCTGTGGCTGAGGTTCAGTCTTTCCAGTCAATTATATGCCATCTCCACAGGACACATAATCTTTTGGCTTAAAGCAAAAGAAAGGAGAATTCCAGAAGGGATAGGGCAAGTTACAAGCACTTGTCTTTGGGTCTCTCTGCACCAGAGTTGGGGTGTTTACCCAGAACTTTCCGTTTGAGCCGGGGTTGTAGCTCAGTGGCAGAATGCTTGCCTAGCATATGCAAGGGCCTAGGTTCTGTTCCCAGCACTAATGAAATAAATTCTTTAGCTAGCATACCCCAATGCAAGTTGCCCCTGGGCCCTGCATAAGGGAAGTTGCCATCTCGGTTCTAAAAGGACCCCTGGAATCTTTGGAGGAGATCATACTTTTTGTATTGCTGCAAAAGCTGAGGTATGCATGGTGACTCACACCTGTAATGCCAGCACTCACAAGACTGAGGCAAGAGGATTGCCATGAGTTCTGGGCCAGCCTAGGCTATCATAGCCATCTTGAGCTACAGAGTGAGACTCTGTCCTGAAAAACGTAATTAAAGGGCTAGAGACTGGTCAGCCATTAAGAGCACTGGCTGCTCTTCTAGAGGACCTGAACTCGGGAAACTTCAGTCCCTGGAGGTCAGACTCGCTCTTTTGGCCCCATGAGCACCAGGCACAAACATAGCGCGCAGGCATGCATGCAGGTAAAACACCACACACTTAGACAATACATAAAAGGAGTTGTAGGGGCTACCTCCCCAGTGCCCATAGGCCTCTCTCTGGGGAATGGCTTGTCAGGTAATAGGTTGTCATCCTGGTTTGGGCGATCCAGTTGGACATGAAGAGTTTAACATACTGCTGTATCTTAGGTAAGCAATGGATTTTTGTTGTTGTTGTTGTTACAACTTTTTGTAACTGTTGTTACAACTTTTAGTAACAGTTCCTCCATTGTGGAGATTCTCTTCCTTACGTTTTTAAACTTGAAGAGGAAACCAAACCTGATAATCTGGCCAAGTAAACACAGCCAAACCTATGAAGTCTACCTCTAGTCTATCAAGCCTGATACCTCAGACACAAGTAAAAAAAAAAAAAAAAAATGAGAGAAAGGAATACTGGGAGTCCCCAGAGGCTTTATGGAAAGTTTCTTCATTGTTTTCTGTGTTTTAAAGCAGAAATATTGTATCTAACCAAAGCTGTGAAAGAAATGGTCTCTTTGGTCACGTGGCCCAGTTCCCTTTCCTTGGATTTTGTTCTGATTAGTCAGCTCAGACCCATAAATGACATTTGAAAAAATGTGAAATTCTATTACTTTTTTATATTAATTCAGTCTTGTTAAAAGTATCAAGCATTTCAGCATATTCATAGACACAGCCATGAAGAGGATTTGAACAAGAGGGTATTTATGTAGAAATTAAATGTCTTGACAGATCCGGGGCCATTCTTTTGCCACTGACTTGGGCAGCTCTGCTGGCAGCACCGCATGAGCTCCTCAGTGACCTCAGTGGACTGGCTCTCGGCCATTAGCAGGACACACTGCTACACTAATACTGCTTAGTACACTAGCATGTCTTCTCAGGAGATGCTTCTTTAAATTTTCAAGTTTCTGGACTTCTAAAGTTATTTTGTTATCTCTAGACAACAGAATGCTATTTTTGTTAGTTTAAGCTAACAGTAAACATATTGTTGCCATTTAAATAAACAAAATGGTTAAAGATCATCGTTACCAAGTATTCATCACTTGCTTTTATGAGACACTGATTGCTTTAAAAAAAAAAAAAGTGAACTTGGAGCCAATTTAGGCATAGATGAATGCACATAGTAGGACCTCGCAGAGGCTGGCTGGCTTGTCCTTGGCGAGCTCCACTTTAGTCTGAGTTCCCACTGGACTTGTCTAGGAGCTGGCAGCTGTGAACAGAACATAGTGGAAATTTCAAATTTGTGGACAGTTTAAGTAATTTCACTTCTAAAATAAAATTTTAATTTTCTCTGTCAAAAGAAAAACATTCTGTTGTTTAAACGTTGTTCCTAAGTAAAGATCTTCGTTGTACTTTTTCCATGTGAATGAGTAAATTTAAGGAAGACTGGAACAGTGCTAGATTGAAAACTATATTGGAAGAATCAAACCTTAAAAATGCCAATTATGTGAGGGACAGGAGAGCTTTTCCTGTTTAAAAAGTTTTTAATGAAGATAATTGGATATGGAAACAGTAGCTTGAGTTTGCCTTTAATAGAAAGACTACTGAGAAACAAGATCTTTCCTGATCTTGTGTCTGTGTTCATAAAGCTTAAAAAGACTCAATGTATTCCAGCTTCACACACACACACACACACACACACACACACACATGCATGCACACTCACGTACACACACAAAAAAATGTGTAGCTACCCCTTCTGGATCGAAATCCTTCAGACATCTGATCAGAAAGCAGCAAGCTGTCTATAAGAAGAGAAGAGCGGCTGGCTTCAGCTCCTCTATAGCACCAGGTGCTGGGAAACATTAGGGAATTTTGAAAAGAAAGATTATATCTTTGGAATTTTATATTTTAATATCTAAAAATATTGTAGTTATGATAAATTCTAAGAAAGTACCACCTACCCCACAACATACAACACATCATTTAGACTTAATGGATCTATAATTTCAGTGTCTCTGAAATAATAATCATTGGGTCGTTATCCACTAGAGGAAAGGAGTGGGTGCTTTTAAATAGGCAATAAAGCTAGAAGCTATGCATCTAAAAATCCCAGAGTCCTCTCTTGAATGTGTTAATATAACATGTACTTAAAAGTAAATATAGTGCCATAGTACTGTTTTTATTCAATTTTATTACTGAAATAATTCATGGCAATTAGAAAACTCAGATACAACTCTTACAAATGAAATCTACATTATTTTAGACCTTTCTAACAATTAAAACATTCTTGCAGTAGAGCCCATTGCTTCTACTTGTTCTGTACTGAGGTACTGAGGTCACAGAGCCCAGACTGTGCCTCTTCACTGCACCACGTGTACTGCTTCACTGTCCCCAAAGTTAGTAACAACAGGTACAAAATCAGACAATTACAGAATCAATATATGACCTTTTTAAAACTAAACTTGGGGAAGAGGGCTGGAGAGATTGCCCAGCGGTTAAGAGGACCCGGGTTCAATTCCCAAAACTCACCTGACAACTCACAACTCCGTGACTCCAGTTCCAGGGGACCCATTGCCTTCTTCTGGCCTCCACATGCACACAAACAACCACAAAATAGACCTTTAAAAAGCTGGAATTGCCAAGCAATGGTGCATACCTTTAACCCAGCACTCTGGAGGCAGAGGCAGGCATCTCTTGAGTTTGAGGCCAGCCTGGTCTACAGAGCGAGTTCCAAAACAGCCAGAACTGTTACATAGAGAAACCCTGTCTCGAACCACCAAAGAGAGAGAGAGAGAGAGAGAGAGAGAGAGAGAAGAAAGGAAAGGAAAGAAAGAAAAGACTTGGGGGCTGGAGAGATGGTTCAGTGGTTAAGAGCACTGGCTGCTCTTCCAGAGGTCCTGAGTTTGATTCTCAGCAATGACATGGTGGCTGACAACCATCTATAATTGGATCTGATGGCCTTTTCTGGCCTACATGCAGATAGAGCACTCATACCTTTAAAAAAAATAAGCTGGATCAGGAAAAATGGTGTATTCTGGAGTGCAATGATAATAAGAAAAGTTGGATTTTAACTGCAGGAAGCTGGCCAAGGCAGTGGTGCATTTCTAAACAACTCGTGACATTGTAGACATCTGTCAAAGTTCAAGTATTGTGAACTTGCGGGTGTAGCTCAGTGGTAGAGCACTTTGCCCTAGGTTTGGTTTTTTTGTTTGGTTTTGTTTTGTTGTTTATTCTGTAGTTTTTTGTTTGCTTGTTGTTGTTTGATGTTTGATTCAAGGTCTCACTATGTAGCCCTGGGTGGCCTGGAACTCATTATGTACACCAGTTGGTCCTCAAACTCATAAAAATTCACCCATCCCTGCCTCCTTCATTGCTGGAGTTAAATGCATGTGCCACCATGCCCAGCCAGGCCCTAGTTTTGATACCCAGCTTGGTGGCAGGGCAGAAAGCACAATGAGAATAAAAACAGTGAAAACAAATTGCTTCTGGACCCCACAATATCAGTGTTGGCAGTAAAACTGGGATCTGTTGTTTTCATGTGCTTGCCCTGGATACGCTTGAAGAAAGGAATGGAGAGTCTGGCCAGTGAACCCTGATGTTTACTTTAAATTAGCAATACAGGAGTTTACGCTTCGTGCTTGTTTAGTTTTTCATTCTGAAATACTACAAAAACTATCCCCAGAAGGACAGACATAGCTTCTTCTGGATCCTCCTACATCAGATGGAGACCCGGTATAAACTCCCCAGGGTTCTCTTGCTTAACTGTGATTGACAAGTCTGTTTGACTTTACCACTTAGACAAGTAATTTGTCTTTACTTAAAATTTTAGTGTTTTCTAATGAGTTTTTTGTTGTTTTGTAACCAAAATGCATTTGCAATGTTTTTATTCTCCTAGGTGTTTTTAAACACACTAGAAAGGACTTTACGGCTGGTGTTCATTTACTAATGACTGACTTTATTGTACCCTTTCCAGCTTGTTCTTCCCTGGTGACCACACCTGGGAACACATATGTACACACGGGAGCCTGTGAGCTGGAAGGCTTTGCAAACGCTTTCTGTCCATGTCAGGATTGGAAGGGGTTTTCTTACTCATGTAATCCAACCCTCTAGTTAATGGTCAACAGAGTCTGTTAACAATTTGCAGTGTTTGGAGGTTGTTTGTTTTAAGGTGTTGGTCTTACTCATGTATATGCAGCTTTAATGTTTAACCCAGATTATAAAAAAAATAAAAAATAATGTTTATTTTATGTCTATTTTCTTAAAGTAACCTAGTTATTTCAACATGATGTGCAGTGTTTTTACATTCGTACCACATTCCTGTGAGTGTGGTTTGCGATGCTGGCACATTAGGAATGGTTCCTTGCCCACGGCTGATGCTCCTGAGCTCTTGTTGTGGAAGTAGTTGTCATGGCTGCCTCCTCCTCTAATACTCTTAAAAATTTGCAGACTGAGTCCCATGGAGAGATCTCACAGTCGTATACTGGCCACTGTGTTCATGTCTTAAGTTAATGTTTAATTACTGTTTTCAGCTCTTCGGTTTTGTTACTTTGGAGACATTTAATCCTCAGAACTTCCAAGTGGAAATCTATTGCTCTCCACATTACAACAGCTCAACTAAGAAATAAAACTTAAAAAATGTTTCCAGCAGAATAGATTTTGGTATCTTAGGTTTCTTTTGGCTGTGGTAAATGTCCTGTTGCCCTGGTAAAAGCAATTTGGGGAAAAAGAGTTTATTTTCACCTGAGAGTTGTATATTATGAAGGGCGATTCAGACAGAGAACTTATGGGAATTCATTGGAATGACTTACAGACTAATCCAACAATGGCTAGCTGTGAACGGAAAGTTCCCACAAGGCTAAGTGTCTCCACTGATCTTCTATATATGCTGGAATCCCAAAAAAGTAGTCTCCAATGCCAGTGAAGGAATGGATGTGCTGCCAAGGTGAGGGCAAGCAGGCAAAGAACTGAATAAAAAACCTTCCTTCTTCCATTATCCTCATATAGGCTGCCAGGAGGTGTATTCCAGATTCAAAGTATGTCCTCAAGATCTGGATTAAAGACCTATGTCTTCCTGCCTCAAAGGTCCAGACTAGAGGTGGATTTACCTGCTTCAAACCAAGCAAAAAAATCTCTCACAGGTGTGTCCTCCATTTGTGGATTGTAGTTCATTCCAGATGTAGTCAAGTTGACAACCAAGAACAGCCACCATAGGTGTAAGCTTCCGCACTTTTCTGTGGACACCCGAACCTCGAAACAGGCGCGCGCTTTTCCTGACTCGAGCCCACGAGAACGGACGCATGTCCTAGGGGTTTGAACAGACGACACACACACACAAAGAGACCGGCTCATCTGCCAAGGAGCAAGTGGCAAATGGCAGCTTTATTAAGCATAAGTCGGGTATATATACTGTGGGGCAAAAGACACCAGCCCCCCATCAGGAACAGGGAAAGAGAAAAGTCAGGGGGCCGCACCCAAGGTCGGACAGCAGCTGAACAGAGAAAAGAGGAAGCTTTCCTTCTCTGACCAGGGAACCTTGCCTGCGGCGAGAACCTTGCTTGCGGGTGGAATTACCATGATAGAAGAGTTCTCTCTGAGCTACACCCTTGGGCCGTAGGTGAAATTAACATAACAGGAGAGGGCAGTTCTATGCCACACCCTTAAGCTGATGCAGTGGAACCAGGAAGCAGAACAGCCCTGCATAGCGCCTCGGGAAAAATGGGGAACCTGTGTACCTACACATAGGCAGCAACATGGAAGGAAGGCCATGGAGGAACACTGTTTACTGGCTTGCATGGCTTGCTCAGGCTGCTTTTTATAGTACCCAGGACCAGCAACCCAGAGGTAGCACCATCCACAGTGAACTGGGCCTCCAACGTCAATCATCAGTCAAGAAAATGAAGCACAAGCTTACCCACACGTCCATCTAGGGGGAGCATTTTCTCAGTTGAGGTTCCCTTTTCCCAAATGACTCTAGCTTGTGTCAAGTTGACACAAAACTAGCCAGTACAGTCTCCCATGAGAGTGTGAATAAAAACACGAGGACACTTGAAACCTGTTCCAAAGCTTCTGCTTTGGTTCCTATCTCATTTCCTGTGATGTGTTCCCTCCCTGGCTTTCCTCAGTGATGGAGTGTGACTTGGGAGTTGTAAGATGAAATAAACAAGAATAGTTGTAAACAAACACCGAAGACTAAAAGGCTGTTCTAGAGATGGTACAGACTCAGAGGTGAGTATTCTCAGCTGAAAGGAGGGGCCTGCAGAGACATGGGGATGGTGTTGTTAATGACATTGTGATAAAAAACATCCAGCGAAGAAAGCTGTTCCTGTGGATGACCCTATTTGTACCCTCCAACCTTGTTCCTTTAATGTAGATCTGTGGGTTATTGAGTAGCCCTAAGACAGGTATGTTTATGATACACAGATGTGTGTCACATTCATGCCAGTGTTCCCTGCAGATGGGCAAGATGAGGCAAGAGGGCCAAGGAATACACATGACTGAAGTGCTGCTGTAAAGGAGGTGCCCGCCGTGAGAGAAACCAGATATGAGGACCAGGGTACAGGCATTCCAGGCACTTGCTGCCCACCCATGCTCATCTAGGGTCCTTAATTTCTTCTAGTGCCCAGAGCATCTCCTGGCCAGAATGTGTGGGCTCTCTTTAGATGTATGGCCCCATTTTCCTTCTCCAATACATTTCTCATTTTTCTCCTTATCCTTTGGATTCTGTCTGAACCCTTTCTCTCCTTAGGGGTATTTTCACTACCAATTTTGCTGGTAAGACGCCAACGACAGATGAGAAAGACATTAAACACAATGCATTTCAACAATAAACAAGATCCTTATATTTCTCATGGGATCCCAAAGAATTAAAGATGAGAAACAAAATTTCCTGCTGGAGTATTTACAGTGTACTCAGCTGCTAAAATGCTCAGCATGCAATCAAGGAAGCAATTTAGCACGTTTCTAACATGCTTAGCTGTGGTAATCATCTTTAAGAGTTTGGCCAAATTTAAAGAACCAAGTCAATTTTTTATTGCAGCATTAGAGAATCTAATGTACCAATAACAAATGCACTTTTGATAGTTAACAGAAATGCTGTGCTTGTGCTTTGTTATGCCTGTCCCTTCGTACTGTATCCTCAGTTCATGGGCAGCCTTGCAAAGATCACTTCCACGTCACTTTCTTGATCCCTCATTTTCCTCAGTTCAACTACCAACTTGCATGCAGTCCCCAAGTGTCAGACATTATATGCCACTTTCACAACTTTTGTTATGACAATTTTGCTTATTCTACTATTTATTTGATGTTTTATATTTACATTGTTTCCTTGTTTTAAAACTTGAATTTAGTGCCGGGCCTGGTACCCCTGCCTTTAATCTCAGTACTTGGGAAGTCCAAGTAGGCAAACCTCTGTGAGTTCAAGACCACAAGTTCCAGGTCAGCAAGAGCTACAGAAACCCTGTCTCAAATAAATAAACAGATAGATAAATAAATCTTGAATTTATATTAAAGTAAAAAGTAAATGTCTTAAACAAAAAAAGCATCCTGATTAATTTCTGTTTGCTACTCAGGTTCAAATTTCAATTCTGCTTCTTTCTAGCTCTGTAATCCCAAGCAAGGCCTTTCTATACTTCAACAAATTTATTTATTTAAAAATTTTAAAGATATAGTTATACATATGACTTGCCTGCATGTGTGTAGGTATGTGTACTACGTAAGTTCTAGTGCTGTTGACAATCAGGAGACATTGAATCCCCTAGAACTAGAGTTACAGACAATTTTACAGTTGTAATCTGCCTTGTGGGTGCTGGGTATTAAACTTGGGTCCTCTACAAGAGTAGCAAGTGCTTTTAACTACTGAGTCACTTCTCCAGCTCCAATTTTTTCATCTTTAAAATGAGAGTAACACCACACACATTTTACCTTACAGGGTTGTAAGAATTAAGATATGTTATATATATTATATATATAGGTTAGCTAGCTAGCTATATATAATCCATAGGACAATGCCTAGTATGCAGCAACTATCTAGATAAAAATATTATGTTAGCTGTGCTTATTATATGTCCTTTTGCTACACAAATGCAGTATTCTATATTAAGTATAACCCATATGCATTCCCTCCAGTGGCACAGCAGCACACTGTGAACAATATATTGATGTGCTTCCCCTTTCTCTCTCAAAATGCTTGTGATGGTTTGAATGAAAATGGTCCCTATAAGCTTGAATACTTGGTCACCAGGGAGTAGCACTATTTCAAACAATTAGGAGGTGTGGCCTTGTTGTAGGAAGTGTGTCACTGGGTGGGGGGGGGGCTTTGAGTTTCAGGTGCAAAAAACTGGGCCCCATGTCACTGTCTCTTCCTGCTGCCTGCAGATCCAGATGTAGGGCTCTCAGGTACCCTCCAGTGCCACGTTTGCCTGTGTGCTGCCATGCTTCCCACCATGATGTTAATGTACTAAACCTCTGAACCTGTAAGCCAGCCCCAATTAACTACTTTTCTTTGGGACTGGAGAGATGGCTCAGTGCTTGGGAGCATTGGCTGCTTCTCTAGAGGATTCAGATTCAATTCCCAGCACCCACATGGCAGTTCACAGTTGTTAACTCCAGTTCCAGGGTATCCATGGCACCAGATATGCATGTGGTGCACATATATATGGATGCAGGCAAAATATTCATATAAAAATCAATACATTTTTTAAAAAATGCTTTCCTTTCTAAGAGTTCCTGTAGTCATGATGTCTCTTACTCTCCTGGTTTCCCTGCTGCATCTCTAGACTCTGCCAGGTGTCTCCTCTGAAAATCATTTACAGTTACTACTTCGTTAGGACAGTCTAACCCACTCCCACAACCTTAGCACATACACCTAAATGGGTGAAGCCCAGGAAATTACTCAGGCCTATTTTCTTAGTTCCTCAGGGTTGGCTGAGGTACATAGTGCTAAAACAGACAGGAAGGCCTAGTGGCTGGAGGACTTGCTTCTCCAGCAGAATGCATAAAGCTTCCAATTTTCCCACATCCTTTCCATCCTTGCCTTGTTACTGTCTTGTTTTACTTTATTTTAGTAATGACCATCCTACCAAGGGAATACTTTATAGTGAAATAATCAGTAGCATCAGACATATTTTTAAAGTACTTTACTTACTTTTATTTAATATTTATTTTTGGATTTTTGAGACAGATCTCTCTACTATGTAGCTCTGACTGTCCTGGAACTCGTTCTGTAAACTCAAAGATCCATCTGCCTCAGCCTCCGAAGTCCTGGGATTAAAAGCGTGTGCCACCATGCCTGGCTGTGCTTTACTTATTTTTAATGGCTCACTAACTGCTTTCCATTCTCCACTTGGAGGCGGGATGGAATAACGGGGGGAACATGGGAGGAAATGACAGGCATAAGGCTGCTGCAGTAGACCAAGATGGTGGCATTGAGAGGGTAAGAATTCATTAGATTCTGAATATACCTGGAGGATAGACACAATCAGATTAAAAGAGGAAATGTGAGAAAAAAGCCCTGCAATGACTAAGTCACTGACGTAGAGAACATGGGGCAGGCGTGCTGGGAAGGAGGACATGTCTGAAGCCACATTTAGACGTGTTACGTTTGGATGCCCATTAGACTTCATTGTGGAAAGAAATGGTGATAAAAGGTACGAGAGTTTGCAGAACAAGCTGTTTCAGATATTTCTTGCTGCATAATGAACTACTCCCTAACTGTGAGGGCCAGTGAAATGACATATGCTACAAGACTGGACCTATTCCCAAAACCCACAGTGAAGGAAAATCCACTCCACAAAGCTGGCCTCTGGCCTCCACATATGCTCTGTAGTATGTAGAGAATTAAAAATAAAATTTTTCTTACAATTTTCTGGGTCGAAGGGCTCATCCAAGTTTTGCCGGTCCCTGTGACATCAGGTGAAGTTACACATCTGACCTATCCATTGGAACTGGGCCAATCAGGAAAGCGCATGAGGGCTTTACTCGTCACTACCTGGCAGCTCAGTGCTTGTTGCTGTTGTTCTATGTTAACTTTAACACAAGCTAACATTATCTGAAAGGGAACCTCATTTGAGAAAATATGGGCTGAGGAGTGGCTCAGAAGTTAAGAGCACTGGCTGTTCTTCCAGAGGATCTGGGTTGGGTTCTCAGCACTCACATGGAGGCTCACTACCATCTATAATGAGATCTGGTAACCTCTCCTGGTATGCAGGCAGAACCCTGTATACTTAGTAAATAAATATCTTTTTAAAAAGATTTATTTTGCTGCATTCTCTTGAGAAGTTTTGCTATCTCCAAAAATGAGTAAACATAATGGAGATGTGGGGCACTGGGGAAAAAGTTGTGTTGCATACATGTAGTTTTGTGATGGAACCAATAGTTCAGTGAGGAAATTAGAAGGATGTGTCATGGGAGGTCAGCGGGTATCAAGGTGGTAGATAGAGCAGGAAGATAGGAATAGGCAAACAAGTTCTGTGGCTATGGACAGCATACTAATGCATGCTGAAGCAGCACTGTGTGCTCAAAAAGAACTGGGATTCTGCATTCCCATTGCGTATTCGGTGTGGCTAAGATGGCAGCAAATTAATATTCCTTTAATTAAGATCTTTATAAGTGACCAAAAAAAAAAAAAACCCAGAACCCTACTTAAATCCAACCTAATGAGAATTTGTCACATCCCAGATCAGACATTTCAGAAGAGTCACCAGCATCTTGAGGCTTTCTGAGTCATGTCAGTCACAGGCCTAGGAACGTCACCAATAAGGGTCATCTCTCTGCTCTGCCGTAAAGGTGGTGCCTTCATTCCTAAATTTGGTTCCATTACCCACTGCTTCCTTTTATTCATCTGAAGATGGAATTTTTCTCAGAAAGATGAAAATGCAACTTTTCTAAACCCCCAGCAAACTCTCCTGAGTCTCATCTGAACCAATCTGTGTTCTGGAAATGTGCTGGCTAGCTTAGGCAGAACCTACCTGTTGCTTTGGTAGTGGGGAATTCTACTGGGTTTTGCAGCAATTAAGGTCCATTTCTGCAGATGTGGCTGAGTCAGCTTCCATAGAAGGAAACGCAGCCAATAAAAATATGACTGTGGGATGGAGAGATCCCATCTGATCCCATTTGCTGAGTTCAATTCCCAGCAACCACATGGTGGCTCACAACCACCTGTAATGAGGTCTGGTGCCCTCTTCTGGCCTGCAGGCATACACACAGACAGAATATTGCATACATAATAAATATTTTTTAAATATGACTGTCAGAAAGAAAGTAACACTGAGTAAATTCTAAAACTATCCACCTAACTCATTATCTCATGAGCTGTGTGAAGATTAAATTAACACCCTCTGATGTTAGCTGGCTTTTTCCTTAAAATGTTCCTGGAGACATATCTAAAGAAACCTCAAGAGAATATAGGTACATAGAGACCTAAGAAATTTGGGAATAGGGTCCAAATGAGATGGAAAAGACAGAAGAAATCAATCAGTGAAGTGGAGGGGAGATGAATTTGTTATGTTCTTCTGGTGTCTCCCAAGTTGACCTTTTCTAAGAGCCAATGTGGGCTAAGTTTATACATCTCTATACCTGACTATGCCCCTAAATAATCGGTGGCTCCCAGCTTTGCATCAAGCAAAGTAACTCACCCCAGAATCAAGACTGAAATATGAATTCATCCTAGACTCAGGCTCATTTTGTAAATACCAGTGTTGGGGATTGAATTTAGGACCTCATGTATACTAAGCTCTACCAATGAACTGTATTCCCAATCCACTTAATCATTTCTAAAATGAAGGACGAAGGGCGTGGTCGATTGGCAGTTAGAATTACCCAGACCAGCTCAAAGATAAATAATATATTTACTAATTGGAAAAACAGAGGAAACTCACATGACCGAGATCCAGCGAGTACACAGGCAGCTGGAGGGAGAGAGAGCAAGGGGAGGGCACCTGGATTTTTTGGTCCTTGTTTCCTTGGCCCCAGGCGGCCACACCCTAGCCAAATGTGATTGGCTGAGCTTTCCTATCACTAAAACATTATACACCAGCTAAGTATCTCTTGGTTGTTCTACAATGACCCCTGCACCCACACCTGACATCCTCCTTCCTCCAAGCAGACATTGCCTTTGCTTTGAATGTTATTTTTTGTCTCAAAATATTTCATCTTGTAAATTAAGCTCAAGTGCTATCCTCAGTGTCACTTCATCAGATTCACTAGGATTAAGTTATTTGGCTTTGCATGCTTGATATTAAAACAGTGACTGTGTTGCTCCCTTCTCATGGCCCGTGTCCATTCATTATTTGCTCTTATAAAAGCAACTACTCTGCACAGACTGGAATGGGGAAAGCACTTTGTAACTACTGATTGACTTTAACATTGCTGCAATAGGACTTGTGCTCACTGATGAGAACCTGTTGGTAGGGCTGAATCAAATTATCAATTCCCATTCTGTTCACCTTCTGTTCTCAGAATCTTGTGAAAGACTTTGCCCAAGTGGGCTTTGAACTCATGAAACTATTCCCTGCCAAAGCAAAGCAAAGAATTGAAATGATCTAATCAAATAGCTCAGATTCAGAGGTGGGAGAAAAAAAAACAACAAAAACTAAACAAAACCCACCCTACCTTTAAAAAAAAATCACTGAGTCATTTTGGTTTTATTCTGTCATAAAAAGTACTGTCATCTCAATTATTTGGTGACTTTCAAAATTTATTCTCCATGTCTAAAAACAAAACAAAACAAAACACACACACATACAAAGACATCTTTTTAGGAGCTAGGGAGATGGCTCAAATTGTAAACTACAAGCATGTGAACCTATTCAACCCCCAGTACCAACATAAAAGCCTGGCACTCGCTGTCATCCCAGCACTGAAGGGGAGGAGGAGCCCTGGGGCTTGCTGGCCAGCCAGTCCACCAAAATCATTGAGTTTCAGGGTAGTGGGAAACCCTATTTCAAAAATAATACAGAATTTTTTTTATGCTGCAATCAAGGTTGTGTGTGTGTGTATGTATTCTTGCATTCACTCCTTCAACAAGTAGATATAAATACCCCCAAGATAGCAGGTATTATTCTATATGAAGTAAGAGAAGAACCAGAGAAAAAACAAAATCTTTACCCTTGAAGACTTATATACTAGAATAGAATGTAAACTGAATACACATATACAGTCACAGAACATTCGTGAAACTAAAGCATCTATTAACACAAGCAATACAGTTTTATTTCCTATTTTCATTGTTTAACGCTGATACAATCAAAGCATTAAACTATTAAGCTGCCTTAACTCAGAAACAAGCTGAGACTTGTAGTTTACTGGCCTAAACAAGTGAGACACTAGCCAGTTGTGTGCTGTCCCCATCTTATTGATGGCATGGCATGCAAAAAGGTTAAGTGATTTGCCTAAATTTACCCATGATCCCAGAGAAATAGCACTGGAAGGAATTTTACCTCCAGGCTTCAACCGAGTCCAATTCTATCTGCAGTCTTCTTCCCTAACCCAACTCATTCTCTCTCATCATATTTTTTGGGGGGGAAGAGGGTGGTAGTTAGGGTGGGCTTAAGGAATAGGGTCTCACTCTGTAAGTGAGGCTGACCTTACCTGAGTCCTGGACCACCACATTGGCCTGGACTGCAGTTCTGACCTTTGTCTGGGGTACCCTTCACTCCCTTGCCAGTTACATCACCTACATACTTCTAGCCATATCTAAACTGCAGTGTGCTCAGATGGGTCTCTTATGCCGTAACTGCTTGCTTTATGACTACTTGTGTGCCAGAGTAGGATCCTCCACAATGTCACCGCCCCATACGCACATCTCAGTGATCTTTTTGTCCCTTAAAGATAGCACACGCCACATACTCATCTCTGTGTATCTGTTACACAAGGCAGAGAACCAGAGAAATGTCCTAGTTAGTAGGATAACATCATCAGTTCTAGGTGATGATCTAGAATCACCTATGAGATGGGCCTCTAGGCATGCCTTGTGGAATTACCTTCATAGTAGTAACTGAGGTAGAAGATACACCCACTGTCGGGAGCCACACCATTCCCTGGCTGTAAAGGAGAGAGCAGTAATATCCATTCTTTGTTCTCCACTTCACTGCAGATGAGATGTAACCAACTGCTTCAAGCACCTGTTGCTTTGACTTCCCCACCATAATGGACTGTGTCTTGAACTGTGGATCAAGACAAGCCCTTTCTCCCTTAAGGTATTTTCATCAGGGCATCTTATCTCAGAAACAGGAAAACAGGAACCTAAATTACAAAAGGCTACAATAGTGAAAAAACTATACACACACCTACTTTCCTAACATCAGTAACCATGACAGTATGTCAGGGATGATAGAACAGAAACAATGTTCCCCTGAAAATGAAGGCTACTAGGCTACTAGGTGGCTGTTCTTTTGGAAGCAGAGGAACAGACACAGCAGACATGACGGTACCACCCTACAATGGGGAGCTTTAGTATAATCAGAATTTAGTATAATCCGTGGGTTTCCACCCACTCAGTAGAAATCAGTTCTGCAGAACTAAGGACCCTTCTAGGACTGCTCACTCTCACATCACTCCAAGTGTGCTCTGTGGTTGATGAGAATGCCTAAAAGGAAGTATTAGAGGCTAACTGTGGCTAAATATTGACCCAACTGAAAAAGTTAAGTTCAAACTCCCCAACACCAGAGGATGGGGATGCAAGACAGTCAATTACACAGGGTTGTGTAGGGATGGGGGCCTTGGCTCAGTGAAACAACACTGCAAGTTTTTACAAATCCCTAGGGCCAATCCTCAGGAACAGAAAATTCCAAGATACTTACAAAATAACCTCCTTTATAACATACATTTTGATCATGACATTTGTGTGCAAGATCTGTTACAGAACAAGACCGGTTTTTGGTTTTGGAAGACAGAGTTTCTCTGTGAAGCTTTGAAGTCTGTTCTGGAACTTGCTCTGTAAACAAGGCTGGCCTTGAACTCATAGGGATTCACCTGCCTCTGCCCCCGAGTGCTAGAATTAAAGGTGAGTACTAGCATGGCCTGGCCACACTTCTACTTCTGTAAGACAAGGGGAAGGTAGTGGCAACCACATATTTAAACAAACACCTCAGTTTCTTGTCAAAGTTTGACCCTGTTGAGCGACTTGCTTAACCTAAGTCTTTTTTATTTAAGAGAATTTAAAAGGCTTTAATTTGCCTAGTTTTAAATTTTCAATTAGATAAAAAATAGAAAACCACTCAAGCACACCATTTGTGTAGCAACATGAAGTGAGAATATAAATACATTTAAAGCAACCATATTACTTAGTTTTTCTAACAGTATTTAGTCACATCGTTTATTGAAAAACAAAGATTGGTTGATAATTTAGTCTTATTTGAAGTTTTAAAATTCAGAACAGGAGAACTAGTTATTAGCTCAGAGTATTTCTAGATATGTTGCTTCTAAACAAACCAAAAGTATGTTTGTAATGTAAGACTATTGTTCACATTTTTAAAAAGCACCCTCATTTCTTTAAAAGTTAGGACTATAAATGGTTCTTGTTTGGTTTTGGTATTTTGTTTTTTGAGGCAGTTTCATATACCTCAGACTGGTCTCAAAATCACTACCTAAGCAAGGATGGTTTTGAACTTCTGATCTTCCTGTCTCTGTTTCTCCAGTGCCAAGATTACCGGAATGCGTATCAGAGCTTGTGTGTGCAGTGCTAGGGTCAAATCCAGGACTTCATGCATGAGACATTCAGTCCAACTTCTTGAAGGTTGGTGAAGATTTTATGAAACTAAGCAATTCTAAGTCTGAGAATAAAGAGTCAAATGGTAATACAAAAAAGTTAGTCACAGGCAGTACAACCAATTCCGCCAACCATATCGTGTCCAAAGTTCTCAGCATCCCAGCTTCCCTTCTTTCTTCACTCTCATTTATTCCTTTCTTTAAAGAAACAAAAACTAAATTCTCCGAAGTCCTCAAAGTCAGAGTTTGTATAGAGCCAAGTGAGAGCTTTGACATTTGATACTAACTACAAGGTTCCTTTGATCATAGATACTTTCTTCATTCTGGGTCAAGGCGCGGTAAAACAGGAAGGATAAGATTCCCAAATGCCGAGTCTTGAGTTATGAAGTATCCAGACGAATGTGCGTGAGCATGCTGAGAAAGATTTAAGAAAAAAATGCTGTTAAGAGACAGTTTAAAATGCTATTAAGAGACGGTTTTTTAAACTAAGGCACTTAGGAGGCCGAGACAAGCAGATCTTGTGAATTCAATGCCAGCCTGGTCTACAAGAGCTAGTTCCAAGACAGCTCCAAAGCTACAGAAAAACCCTGTCTCCAAAACAAATAAATAAATAAATAAATAAATAAATAAATAAATAAATAGGACTGTTTTTAGTCACTTAAACTGAGGTAATCTTTATAATCTCCACTCCAGTTCTGGGATTTTGCTTAAAAGCAAAGGCAATTACACTATACCTTTCAAATTTTTATTTTTTAAGTTTTATGAAATACAGTTTTGCAATGCAGCCTAGGCTGACCTGGAACTCATTCCAGATCCTCCCGTTCCACCCTTGAAGTAATGTCAGTTCCTCGTGACATGGGTGAACATCAGCAAACCACTGTGATTGTGTGTGGAACATGTTTTACATTGCTCCACTGAGTTACAAAATAAGAACTGTGCTGGCTTCTAGAACCTGGAACTCTCCAATGAGACCTGACTGTAGGTTCATTTTGCTCACCTGCAGAGCTGCCTTCTGCTGGGCTGCAATGTGCTGCTGCTCAGCATGGTCCCGGAAGTCCTTGTTAATAGAGGGTCTGGAGAGGGAAATGCTAAAATGGAAATCTTGGTTACTTGACTACTGAACAAAAGGTATCCTTATCTCAAAAAAGACAAAAAAAAAGGATATATAAGGGATTTATTAGACTGGACTGGAACATTTTTATTATAGTAAATTGAAATTTAAAATTGAGATGTAGCTACCACTTAAAAATTGTACATATTTATGGTTACAGTGTTTTTAATATTAGTTTACACAGAAAATTAAGCAAACCAAAATAACCTATCCATCATGTCATATGCCAATGTGATGATAATGATTATTATATAAGATCTCTCAATAATTTTCAGGTACATATCATTATTAACTAACATCGTGCTGTATAGTAATCCTGAAGAGAATCATCTGGTGTTTTTGTTTTCTGTGTGTAGTGCTAAAAATTATACCCAAAGCCTCAGGCACAGTAAGCACACTAAACCACAGAATTAATCCCTAAGCCTTTTGTACTTATGTTGAATCATACAGTCTTCATTACATATTACTTTAAAAAATATATTTTTTTTAAATTTGTTTGTTTTTGTCAGACATATGGAGATCAGTTCTCTATACCATGCTCGGGATAAGAGCCTCCTGTCCCACTGAGCCATCTCTCAGGTCCTGTGTATTCTCTATAAAGATAAAAAGGATTTCGAAGCTGAACATGGTGGTGCCTATCAGGGTTGGGGGTGGACAGAAGAGGACCTTAGGTTCCACGCCAATCTAGACTACACAGCAAAACAGTATCTCATAAAATTTAAAAAGTGACCTTCTAGGGCTGGAGAGATGGCTCAGAGGTTAAGAGCACTGGCTGCTCTTCCAGAGGTCCTGAGTTCAATTCCCAGCAACCACATGGTGGCTCACAACCATCTGTAAAGAGGTCTGGTGTCCTCTTCTGGTTTGTAGGCAGAACACTGTATATATAATAAATTAATAAATCTTTTTTAAAAAATTACCTTCTAAAATAAAAGCATATTTTCTCTTCTTCCTATTATCTGCATTAATTTATGAAGAAAGCCTGTTATTTGTATGGGATTTCAAGTAATCTATTATTATATAGACCCATACTTTACAACCCCTTACTTTTAACTGTATTTGAAGTACCTCTGTCTACCATTATCCTTATTAATATTATTATTTTGTTTGTTTTCTGTTTTTTAAGACAAGGCCTCATTATGTAGCTATGGTTATCCTGCACCTCACTCTATAGACCAGGATGGCCTCCCAGTGCTAGGATTAAAGGTGTGGCACCACCACAACAGACACTGCATCTTTAAAACCTGTTAACAAACAGTGTGACTGTTCATCAACAGCAGAACCGCACTTCACTGTCTGGATGATAATTAGACTTAGGGTACTATGTTCTACATAGTTTGAACAACTATGAAGATTCTAAAGCAGCTACTAGATAGCTGGCTCTGTGCTAAGCACTAGGGACATGCAGATGTGCAGAACAAATCTCATAGACAATAGCAGTTATGATGAAATATGAAGCACATACTAGGAATGAGCAGACTACGATCACAAATAGGATTTTGGTAAGGAGAAGCTTAAAGAGTAGACCTAATTCTAACAGTAACGAGACCTCCAAAGAGTGGGAGGCAGTGCTTTTCTCTTTAAAAGTATGATTAATAATACCACCTTCATGGAATAGTCAATACCTAGCTCCAGGGTGACTTGCTGAAGATTGGTTCTGCATAAGTAATTTTCTTTTCTCTTTGTCCAGTTCAGCCAAGATCGCAACTCTATTTTTATTTTGAAAACCTAAAGAAAAAAGAAGAAAGGAGCATTTTAGACCAAGACCATGTAGAAGCCAGAAAGTAAAATTCCTATTCTCTAGCATGGTCATGAACTCATCCTACAAGCCATTTCCCAGCAACTTTAAGAGCATAATACATTACCAGATGTTGTGGCAAACATAATCCTAGCACTGAGAGGTAGAGTTCAAGGCCAGCCAAACCCAAGTTCAAAGGGGTTGGTGTAGGGGGTTAGCTCAATTGGTAGAGTTGCAAAGCCCTGGGTTTGCTCTCCAATATAGTATAAACTAGATGTGGTGGCACAGGCAGAAAGATCAAAAGTTCAAGGTCATCTTTGGCTTTGCACCACCTTCAAGGGCAGCCTGGGCTACACACTACATGTGACCCTGACTTCAAAGCAAAAACAAAAACAAACAAAAAAAAAAAAACCAGGCTCAGCAATGGTAGCATACAACTTTAATTCCAACACTCTCAGGAGGCAGAGGCAAGTGGATTTCTGTTGAGTTCCAGGCCAAAACTAGGGTTACCCAATTTGACCCTAAATAAGAGGTGTGTATGTGTGTGCGTGCACGCATACAGATGGTTCAGCAGTTAGGTGCACTGGTTGCTCTTCCAGAAGACCTGGGTTCAATTCCAAGCACACACTCACAATAGTTAGTCTAGTTCCAAGGCAATCTTTGGAACTCTGTAGGCACAGAGCACAAATAAGGTACCCAGACATACATGTAAACAAAACACCCACACATAATATTTTTTAAAAAAAGAATCAAACAAAACAAAACCCAATAGGCATAGTAGATGGGTACAAAATAAAAGGACTTTTAAGATTTATTTATGTTTGCAAAAGCAGGGCCTATGCCTTGTACATACCATGTACAAGCACTCTTCCACTAACCACAATTCTAGCACCAAGACTCTGATTTAAATAATTCTACTCACCAAGGTATAAATTACGGCATTTGTTTTGAACAAAATTTGTGGGCCCAAACTATTGTACAGCCAAATCTACAGGCTTGCAGATTCTTACATGAAGGAAAAAGCATTTTGCAGGCTGGAGAGATGGCCCAGCCATCACCCAGAGTCCTGAGTTCAATTCCCAGCAACCGGCTCACAACCATCTATAGTGGGATCTGATGCCTTCTTCTGGCATAAAGGTGTGAATGCAGCAGATAGAGCACTCATACACATAAAATGAATAAGTCTTAAAAAAAATACTATGCATACTCAGGTCAAATTCATTCAAAAATGATGTATTTTTTGAAGGAACAGCTGAAGAATTGCAACTGATCAGACCAGAAATCAAGTCTAAGAAATAGAGCACATAGCCAGGTGGTGGTGGTGCACACCTTTAATCCCAGCACTCGGGAGGCAAAGGCAGGTGGATCTCTGTGAGTATGAGGCCAGCCTAGTCTACAGAGCAAATTCCAGGATAGGCTCCAAAGCCACAGAGAAACCTTGTCTTGAAAAACAGAAAGAGAAAGAGAGACAGAGACAGAGACACAGAAAGAGAACACAACTCATGGGATATACAGACACCTACTTTTATCGAATACTTCTTAGGTAAGATCTCAGCACATGTTGCAAAGTCATGCAGTGACTGCAGAACACAGGCAGCATGCATCTAAACTTTAAAAATCCAAATTAAAGTTAGGTGATGGGGGCGTACACCTTTAAACCCTGGACTTCAGAGGCAGAAGCAGGTGGATCTCTGAGTTTAAGGCCAGTCTGGTCTACAAAGTGAGTTCTAGGACAGTCAGGGCCACACAGTGAAACCCTGTCTCAAAAAAGCAATCAAATAAATCCAAATTAAAATGCCAACATGTGAGCAATCTCCACAATCTCAGATGTCTAGCCTCTGCAAACCTATCTCAAGATCTGGTATGTATGCCCCAGCAGCAGCAACAAACCAGAACCAGGAGTGTTTTGCCCAACTGGCCACTATCAAGTATAATCCTGAGGAGTCTTGTTTGTATGTACACAGGCATCAGCCTTTCTGATCCCTAGCTAGAGAGAGGGGAAGGGACTGGAAAGCACAGAAGGCTATAAGAGGAAGAGTAGCAAGAGACAATTACAGCTCTGGAGACTAGAAGGATAACTCTGGGATGAGGGCACTTTAAGCAGGGTAGACCTAAGCATGCCTAAATCCCCATCTGAGGGACTGAAAATTTTACATTGATTTACAGAGAACTGGTAGGAGGAAATGTCCCCAAAAGGGAGAGACTGGTTGGGTGCAGCATGTATAAGGCATTCATAGATATGAGATTAACCAGACATAGCTGAAACCTGCAGTTCTCAATTTAACCAGACACCAGCAACTTGGCTATGGCCAGAAGATTGCCATATTCATTTTAGCAATTTATCCCCTCCTACTTTCCATCTCTGTTCTTGTTATACCACAAAATTCTAGTAATAGCAGACTCCTTTTTAATAACTAACAGTGACTGTACATTCTGGCATTTCTAAAATGATGGTTTTATGAGCTTTCCGGACAATTCTTCATTTCCTGCTGACACACTCCTGGTGAAAACAGGATACCAACATCAACTGTCATGTCACTGAAATTCCCCCTTCTCTAGTGAAAAATGGGTCAGGCAGGCCAAGAATGGAAGGTCCAGGTAACATGAACTTATCCCAAGTACAGCGGAAACAAAACAGCCTAGTTTTGTATGTGACAGGACCTACACTGCTCGCCAATGTCATGCACTGCTTGGTCATATAAGAGCAAAGCAAGCTAATGATATCACTGATGATGTAGTCTAATTTATAAAGCCTCTCTCCCATAATAAAGATGCACTACAAAGCTGGGCATGGAGACCCACACTTGGGGAGTACTCGCACTTGGAAGGTGGAAGCAGCAGGATCAGGCATTCAAGGCTATTTTAAAACCTGTACAGCAAGGTTTTAAAGCTAGCCTGAGCTACGTCAGACCCTATTACAAAAAAAAATAATAATAATAATAAATAAAATAAAGGGCACAACAGACCTGGAATATCTTACTGTAAGAAGGCAAGATGTCTTTATTAAAAAAAAATTAAATATTAAAAAGAGACCAGTCAGCCCTTAGTCCCAGAGCTCAAACAGGAAGACTGTTAGAACTTCCAGGCCAGCCTGGACTACTGGTGATGAATGAATTCTAAGCCAGCATAAGGTAAAAATAAAAAGAGAGGAATTCCCAGGTACTTTTATTGTGGAAGGGCTACACTATATGGCAACTAATATTTTAAAATGAGCCCATAGCCAGAATAGAAATGTTTCTTCTCAGAAAAATTTTTAAAGGATTTTCGCTTGCTTACTAAGTAACTTTTATAATTGGATATGATATTTCAGAATCCTTACAAATTAAAAAACTATCAAATTAAACTCCTTCCAAATGAAGACAATATTTTGGTCTAACCTCTAGAATGTCCTTGTATTTCAATAAGCCCTATGTAACATTACACAGATTAAATAATGCAAGCTAAAAAAAACTATCATATTTATACATGATGTTCAAATTCAATGAAAACTTTAAGGCTATTATAGTTGAAACCTTAAGCAGGACATAGTGCTAATACTATAATCCTGGTACTTGAAAAGCAGAGTACCTTAAGGAGGAAAGGCTGTGTTGTTTGCATCTTCTGAGCTTGTCTTACCCTTCTGAAATGTATCCTTCCTTTTTAAAGCTTTAGATCTAAACTGGGTGTGGTGGCAACACCTTTGATCCAGAGTTCTGAGGCAAACTGAGTTTACATATATATTGGGCTTCAGGCCAGCCAAGTCGACAAAGTGAGACTCTGCCTCAAAAACAAGATAGATAGATAGATAGATAGATAGACAGACAGACAGACAGATAGATCGAACAAAAACCCAATCAGACAACAAAAATACCATGACCTTGTGTCGTATGAGTTTTGAGCAAAGTATTTATACTATGAAAGTATATAAAAGCCAACAAATATTATTTAAGTACTAATAATTTCTTACTTCAAACTTGAAACTTAAGGCAAACTAGTTAAGTCTGGTTATATGAGATAAGGTACAATTTTTTCTCATTTTCTTTCCCCATCAGAATTCTTACAAACTTAAAGGTTAAACTACTTAAACAAAAGGTTATACTCACTAATGAGATCCCTGTGAGTCTTTTTGTTTGTTTGTTTGGTTGGTTGGTTTTTCAAGACAGGGTTTCTTTGTAGTTTTAGTGCCTGTCCTGGAACTAGCTCTTGTAGACCAGGCTGGCCTTGAACTCAGGGACCTACCTGCCTCTGCCTCCCGACTGCTGGGATTAAAGGCATGCACCAGCAGAGCCCAGCTGAGATTTTTCTTTAATACCTATGGTCTCATGCTATAACTTGTAGCGCTGTGTTCACTCTTAGCACAAGGATTATTTACTGTATTATACAGTAGGAACTGTAATATCCTCATGTCTGTCAAATACAATTTTCTTAGAATGAAACACTACACTAAAATACTTTCACTTTTCAGATAAATCACTGTGGTAATTTGTAATTGGCCCCCCAAAGGTCAGAGGGAGTGGCACTATTAAGACGTGTGGCATTGTTGATGAAGTGTCGCTGTGGGGGTGGGCTTTTAAGTCTCCACATGCTCAAGCCATGCCCAGTATCCCAGTTCACTTCCTGTAGAACTCTCAGCTCTTTCACCAGCATCATGTCTGCCTACATGCAGCTATGCTTCTCTCCAAGATGACAATGGACTAAACTTCTGCAACTGTAAGCCACCCAATTAAATGTTTTACTTTATAAGAATATAGGTGGTCATGGTGTCTCTTCACAGCAATAGAAACTCTAAGACAGAAGTTGGTACCACGAGTGGGGTATTGACCATGTGTTTGAAGGGATACGGACCTTGGAACTGTGAATTAGAAATGGACTCTTTAGTTTTCATTTTGGCTCAGTTTTGGCAGGGGGTGGGAAGTACTGAGAATGTAATCAAACTACTTTAACCAGTACCTTTATAATTTAATTTTAAAAAGAAGTTAAAGATAAATACAATGTTTACCTGTGATGATGTGTCAAAAACACCTAAAAGTCATACAGTTCAGACCTGATATGGAAAGAGACCCGTTTCAAGGTTTATGCTTAAAAATACTTAAAAAATAACCCCAGTACTCCAGTACTTAGGATGCATAGGCAGGCGATCCCTGTGAGTTTGCAGCTAGCCTGGCCTACAGAGCAAGTTCCAGGGCAGCTAGGGTTGCTACACAGAGAAACCATCTCAAAAAAAAAAAAAAAGAAAAAGAAAAGAAAAAGAAAGAAAGAAAATCTCAAATAAATACAGCATGATATTCAATATTTTCTAAAGACTAAATTTTATGAGCCAGGTGTGGCGGCCCATGTGTTTAATCCCAGCACTACGAAAGCAAGCAGATCTCCATGCTGAAGGCCAGTCTAGTCTATACAGTGAGTTCCAGGCCACCGAGACTACATAGGAAGACCTTGTCTCAATAAATAATAAAAAGTAACAGGTGAAAGACTGAAGTTTTTATAGCCATGAAGATAAAGGCATGGTTACTATCTGATGACAGTTTAAAAATAACACTGACTTCACACAGAACAGCAGAGAACTGGTGCCGAAGGATCAAGTGTGCTGCAGGTCAGGGAAATGATTCAGTGATGAAGCACTTGTGCCCAAAACCACGGGGATCAGGGTTCAGATTCCAGTAACCCACATAAATGTTGGGTGGGCATAATGGCCCACCTGTGATTCCAGCCTCGGAAGGTGGAGATAGGAGATTCCTAGAGCAAGCCGGCTAGTGAGAGAAAGCCATATCAGCGGGCTCTTGATTGGACCGAGAGACCCTGCCTCGATGAATTAGGTGAAGAGTGATGAAGACGATTCTTCATGTCAACCTTCCAGACTCTATATGCGCACATGCCCACCCCCACAAACATGCACCCATGCAGGCAAACATGCATATATACTGATGTATACCATACAAAAATAAATGGAAAAAAAAAGGTTTACAATGTGAATCACTAATCTTAACAGGTTAAAACACAGTATTAGTAATATTCAAAAATGTATAGCTGATATAGTGTTAAACTGATTTTAAATTGGGAATTTCCACTTTGCTATTCATTCTTTAATTCTGGTTGCAGTAACTGTTCTATACTAAATGTTGTCTACTTCAAATACATTTAATGTATGAGGGAAAAGTTCCTAGTAATAACAGAAATCCCAGCATGCATTACCTGGTCCTGAAGGATTTGCTGCCATCTTCCTATTCTGTTTCAATTATATTCAGTGGCCACTGATCAGCACTTTACAATCATCTGTAAAAAAATTTATGTGCACACATAAAATGCACTGGCCTTAAATGACAATCTCAAAATTGTGACAAACTGCTGGGCTGAGCTCAGTTTCTTAGTCTCTAGAAAGATACCCGCAAAAAACAAAAGACTTAAATCAGAAGTTTAACTGTGCAAATTCCTCATGCACTTTATTAAGTGAGCAGCTTTCAGTATTGCAGCGTTAATAACAATATTTAGCATTACTTTAATTTACATCATTAAGATGTATTTATCAAATATATCAACCTTTTGAAAGTATCCATATGATCAATGCTAGGAAGAAAAATAAAATTCTATATAAAAAAAAATCACTCTGTTCATTTAAAAAAATATCCCAGCCCTGTTGGCAAAGGAAAAGAACCTGTTCTGCATCATAGCCTCTGTAAGATGTTTCCAAAACATGTTTTTAATGGAGCATCTTTAAACTCCTCGTTTGTGTGTTTGTGTGTGTGATGTGTGACCAGTGGCGAGCATGTGTGAGCAGGCACTGCATGCCCTGCTCTATCACCCTCCTCCACCTTGTCCCCTTGAAGCAAGGTCTCTCAGTGAGCCTGGAGCTAGACTGGCGGCCAGTAATCCTCACCTAGTCTCTACTTTCCTTCAGTTCTGGGGTCCAGGCGCTAAGCTACACGGGCTTCTGAGGTGGATGCTGGGGATTCCGACTCAGATCCTAATGCCTGCGCAGCAAGTGCTCTTACCAGCTTGGCCACCTCCCTAGCCCCAAGCCTGCTGATTTCTAAGTTTAGAAATTAAGTTTTGTATTAAGCAGTATCGAAATTAAAAGACTGTTTTTCATTCAAATAATCACACAGGGGTGTGACTGGGGCGAACCAATTTAACAAACGCGCTCTTTAAAACGTGATGGCACATGGGTAATCCCAGCACTCGAAAGGATAGGGTAGAATAACTGCGAGTACCAGGCCAACCCGGGCTACATGGCCAGAACCTGACTCAAAAACATGGCGTGAACAGGGTTGCAGAAGAAGAGAACAAATTGCTGAGCGAAAGTAAAGACAAGGGCTCGAAGCAGAAGCCGGGTGTAAACGAATCGCGTCTCCAACGGCAGGTGCACAATGTGAGCAAAGCCGAGCCACCCCGAGAAAGGGAGAGGTAGTACCTGCCTGCGGGCAAGGCGGGCGAAACCTGCGCCCGCTAGTCCGCACGAGGCCGCGGTCCGGGGCGGCGCCGGGGCCACAACTTACCCGGATACGCGGAGTCTCGAGAAACCTCGCTGTCCGGTCACGTCTGTGCCGGGGTGGGGGGGGGCGCCCACGCAGACCTCAGCTCGGGGGCGGGGAGCCCACACTGAACTCAACAAGAGCACAACGTAGCGCCGCACAACAACCTTCCCGCCGGCACCAGCTTCCGCCTCCTGACTGACAGAGCCCAAGAAAACGGAAGTCCCGCCTACAGTCTGGACGCAACGGACGCTACGCCAGGCGATTCGTGGTTTAAGGGCTTCTTCGGAGGGAAAGGGTTTCCCTTCTGAAGAATGACAGTCGAGGAGGCTCAAGGGAGATGCAGGCTGTACTGCGGGAGATGGTGCGGAGTTCCTAGCACCTAAATTGACGTTTTAGTCTTCCAGGCTTGTAGGAGACTAGATGTTGGTCTGTCAAGATTTAAACCTGGTGCTAATCCACTTCAGCAGAGCCTCAGAAGGAGGCTGAGTTCACGTTCACGTTTTAACAACCATCCCAGAAATATTTTTGTTGTTTACACACAAAAAAAGCACTAAGATGTTACAAATTTTTACTACTATGCAAAATCTGTATTTTAAAAATGAAAGTCTGCGGGGTGTTGTGGCGCACTCCTTTAATCCCAGCACTGTGGTCAACTCTGCGAGCTCCAGGACCGTCAGGACTGCACAGAGACACGGTCTCAAAAACAAACAAAAAAAGTGTCACGCTAAGACTATTGAGGAATTAGATGCTGCGTTGCAGTACATTAAATCCAAACGTTTATATTAAAAAGTAAATGTTCTTTAATGTGTAACACCTGTTCTGTTGACACTGATCACTTTCCACAACTTGGAACTTGTGTTCTTAATAATTAATGTTTACTATGCTCAGGATGTGGCTAAGTTGATAGAGTACTTGCCCTGAATTAAATACCTAGCACTGAATACAACTGGGGATGGTGGAGCATACCTCCTCAACCCAGAGCTGGGGAATTCAGTGGGAGAAGGATCTTCTGTTTGAGGTCATCCTTGGATACATAGCAAGTTTGAGACCAGTCTTGACTATATTAATCCTTATTCTTAAAATAATAATTAATTTTTGCTAATGTTATGGTGCACAACTTTGTTATAGAGTCCATGACTGCAACAGTAAGTTCAATATCAAGAATTTATTTTGTTCTCAGCAAGAAACTGTTGAGTGTTTTCCCATGCTAGGTGCTGGCTATCTTCAGCTTATGTCTGTGCCTGATTTGTGTATTGCACTCAGAGATGTTACTGCATTCTGTCTAGTAAAGAATTGAGCTAAAACCCAAAAATTCTGCCAGGGGCTGAGGCTCAAATTCTTAACTTTGGCATACTGTCTTTGCTCTAAAGAAAGAAATTCCTCTGGGATCAGCTTTTAGTAATTGTCATCCATCCATCGTACCCCTGCCCCTGGACACAGGGTTTTGGTATGTGCAAAAGAGCCTTAAAGCATCCTGTGTCCCAGGCTGCATATTGCCATCCTCCTGTCTCAACTTACAGGCCTATGCCAGCACACCCAGCTCTGTTGACTCTTGGGGTTTTTTTTTCCTTTTTTTAAAATTGATTTTTATTGAGCTCGACATTTTTCTATGCTTTCCTCCCTGCCTCTCCCCTCCCCACTTCAACTCTCACCCAAGGTGCCCATGCTCCCAATTTACTCAGAAGATCTTGTCTTTTCCTACTTCCCATGTAGATTAGATCTATGTAAGTCTCTCTTAGTCTTCTCATTGTTGTCTGAGTTCTCTCGGATTGTGGTTTGTAGGCTGTTTTTTTTTTTTTTTTTTGCTTTATGTTTAAAAACTACCTATGAATGAGGACATGTGATAATTGTCTTTCTGTGTCTGGGTTACTTAACTCAAAATAATATTTTCTAGCTCCATCCATTTTACTGCAAAATTCAAGATGTTATTTTTATTCTGCTGTGTAGTACTCCATTGTGTAAATGTACCACATTTTCCTTATCCATTTTGTGGTCGAGGCCCATTTAGGTTGTTTCCAGGTTCTGGCTATGACAAACAAAGCTGCTATGAACATAGTTGAGCACGTGTCCTTGTGGCACGATTGAGCATCCTTTAGATATATACCCAAAAGTGGTATTACTGGGTCTTGAGAAAGGTTGTTTCCTAATTTTCTAAGAAATCTCCACACTGACATCCAAAGGGGTTGTACCAGCTTGCATTCCCATCAGCAATGCAGAAGTGTTCCCTTTTCCCCACAACCTCTCCAGCATAAGTTGTCATCAGTGCTTTTGATCTTTGCTATTCTTACAGGTGTAAGATGGAATCTCAGAGTTGTTTTGATATGCACTTCTCTGATGACTAAGGATGCTGAACATTTCATTAAGTGTCTTTCAGCAGTTTTAGAATCCTCTGTTGAGAGTTCTATTTAGGTCTGTCTTCATTTTTTTTATTATTGGATTATGTGTTCTTTTGATGACCAAATTCTTGGGATCTTTGTATATTTTGGAGATCCAACCTCTGTCTGATGTGGGGTTAGTGAAGGTCTTTTCCCATTCTGTAGGCTGTCATTTTGTCTTGTTGACCTTGTCCTTTGCTTTACAAAAGCTTTTTCAGATTCAAGAGGTCCCATTTATTAATTGTTTCTCTCAGTGTCTGTGCTGCTGGGGTTCTATTTAGGAAGTGGTCTCCTGTACCAATGCGTTCAAGTATACTTCTCACTTTCTCTTCTATAAGGTTCAGCGTGGCTGGCTTTATGTTGAGGTCTTTGATCCATTTAGACTTGAATTTTGTGCATTGTGATATATATGGATCTATTTTCATTCTTATACATGTTGATATTCAGTTAAGCTACACCATTTGTCAAATATGCTTTCTTTTTCCATTTGATATTTTTTGTTTCTTTGTCAAAAATCAGGTATTTGAAGAAGTGTGGATTAATATCTGGGTCTTCTATTCAGTTCCATTGGTTCTCCTGTCTGTTCTTATGTCAATACCAGGCTGTTTTCACTAGTGTAGCTCTGTAGTAGAGTTTGAAGTCAGGGATTGTGATGCCTCCAGAAGTTCGTTAATTGTACAGGATTGCTTTGGCTATCCTGGGCATTTTGCTTTTCCATATGAAGTTGAGTACTGTTCTTTTGAGGTCTGTGAAGAATTTTGCTGGGATTTTGATGAATCTGTAGATTGCTTTCTGTAAGATTGCCATTTTTACTATGTTAATTCTGCCTAGCCAAGAGCATGGGAGATCTTTCCACTTTTGGGTGTTTTCTTCAATTTCTTTCTTCAAAGATTTAAAGTTCTTGTCATAAAAGTCTTCCACTTGTTTGGTTAGACTTACTCCAAGATATTTTATGCTATTTGTGGCTATTGTGAAGGGTGTTGATTCTCTGATTTCTTCCCCAGCCCTTTTATCATCTGTGTACAGGAGGGCTATTGATTTTTTTTTTTTAGTTAATCTTGTATCCTGCTACATTACTGAAATAGTTTATGAGTCGTAGAAGTTCTTTGGTAGAATTTTTGGTATCGCTTATGTAAACTATCATATTATCAGCAAACACTGAGAGTTTGACTTCTTCTTTTCTAATTTGTATCCCCTTGATCTCCCTTTGGTGTCTTATTGCTCTAGGTAGGACCTCAAGAACTATATTGAGTTGATATGGAGAGAGTGGACAACCTTGTCTTATTCCTGATTTCAGTGGAATCACTGTGAGTTTCTCTCCATTTAGTTTGATGTTATCTGTTGGCTTGCTGTATATTGCCTCAATTATGTTTAGGTATGTTCCTTGTATCCCTGCCCTCTCCAATACCTTTATCATGAAGGGATGTTGTATTTTGTCAAAAGCTTTCTTGGCATCTAATGAGATGATCATGTGGTTTTTACTTTTCAGTTTGATTACATGGTGGATTACATTGACAGAATTTCGTATGTTGAACCCTCCCTGCATCTCTGGAATGAAGACGATCATGGTGGATGATGGTTCTGATGTGTTCTTGGATTCGATTTGCCAGTATTTTATTTAGTATTTTTGCATCAATGTTCATGAGTGAGATTGGTCTGTAATTCTCTTTGTTAGTAATCTTTCTTTTGTTTGGGTATCAGGGTAATTGTAGCCTCATAAAAAGAGTTTGGTAATGTTCCTTCTGTTTCAATTGTGTGGAATAACTTGAGGAGTATTGGTAGTAGTTCTTCTTTGAAAATCTTGTAGAATTCTGAGCTGAAATCATCTGGTCCTGGACTTTTTTTTTTTTTGGTTGGGAGATTTTCAATGACTGTTTTTATTTCTTTAGCAGTTATAGGTCTGTTTAATTTGCTTATCTAGTCTTGATTTAATTTTGGTAAGTTATGTTTATCTAGAAAGTTGTCCATTTCCTTTAAGTTTTTCAATTTTGTGGAGTATAGATTTTTGAAATATGACCTGATGATTCTCTGTATTTCCTCCATGTCTGTTGTTATGTCCCTCTTTTCATTTCTGATTTTGTTAATTTGGATATTCTCTCTATGCCTCTTGGTTTGCTTGGATAAAGGTTTGTCTATATTATTGATTTTCTTGAAGAATCAATTTTTGTCTCATTGATTTTTCTGTACTGTTTTCTTTGTTTCTATTTTGTTGATTTCAGCTCTCAATTTGATTATTTCCTGCCATCTAGTTCTCTTGGATGAGTTTACTTATTTTTGTTCTAGAATTTTCAGGTGTTCTGTTAACTCACTAGTGTGGGATTTTACCAGCTTCTTATGTACGTATTTAGTGCTATGAACTTTCCTCTTAACACTGCTTTCATTGTATCCCATAAATTTGGGTATGTTGTGTGGTCATTTTCATTCAATTTTAGGAAGTCTTTAATTTCTTCCTTTATTTCTTTACTGACCCATTGATGATTCATGTGAGCATTATTTAATTTCCATGTGTTTGTGGGTTTTCTGGAATTAGTATTGCTGTTGACTTCTAGTTTTAAACCGTGGTGGTCTGATAAGGAACAATTGGGTTATTCCAACTGTTTTGTATTTGTAACATTTGTTTTGTTACCAAGTATGTGGTCAATTTTTGAGAAGGTTCCATGAGGAGTTGAGAAGATGGTATATTCTTTTCTGTTTTGATGGAATATTCTATAGAAATATTCTATAGATATCTGTTAAGTACATTTGAGTCATAACATCTGTTAGTTCTCTTTTTTATCTGTTCATTTTTTGTCTGGCTGACCTGTCCAGTAGTGAGAGTGGAGTG